GCAGTAACGAGACGGGTTTAGCATCAGCTAGAACAGGCTTGATTTCATCAGCCTTCACACATCTCCATCACATGACTTTCCAGGAGTCTCTCTGGTGTCCTTCATCACAATGACTCTTGTTCCTATCTCAGACACTCAAGAACACACTATGTAGCCTTATTAAAATTGGCTCCTGCAAGTAAACGTATCAGGGAAAACTTAATTGGCTTTCCAGGCAATCTTGTTTGTGATGACATCTGATATGAACGCTGTGCATCTTAGCCTAAGTGAAAAAATAAATGAAGGAAGGTATCCCAGTAATTATAAGGCATTACTGGAGCAGGACAAAGCATCTTGCTGTGCCCTGTGACTTAGCTCCATAGCAGGACCCAATGAAAAAATGCCACTTGGCATGGAAATTAAAGGGAGGGCAGGCTCCCAATCTGGCATTGCAACCACCCAGCGTATATTGGAAACTGTTAAGCTTGCCTATAAATCCAGAGCCTTGGGAGACTAAATGGAGTCTTAAATCAGAGAGAGCACAAAGAAGGCTCAGAAAGAAGACTCATTAGCCAAATCCCTACCGTGATTTAAGGATGTGCTAAGAGGGAGGAGGGACAGCACATTTATCAAATCTCGGATTAAATCTTTTAAGGCACTGAAATTATAATATAAGAGCATAATACTGTTGGCATTTTGTAATGAAAACTTTGAAATCCGGGGGATAAAGGAACCAATTTCTGAAGACTGATTTGAGATGTTTGCAGATGATTCATTCCTTGCTTGATTGACTAGAGTTATTGCTAATAATATCAAATTCTAACACTATCTGAGCAGAAGAACCCTGGTTCTCCATCTCACGGCCTCAGCCCACCCAGGAGTCGTCTTTGCCCTTGGGGTTCCTTCCCTCCCACTATAATCTCTCTTTGTTTTCATGCAAATGCGAGTAGGGATTCAACCAAAAGTTGCTGCCTCAGGCTGCCCAGTTCAAGGTCCTCCAGGCTGAGGCTCAGAAGCAGCTCAGAATGCAAGAAGCTACGTAAGAAACTAATCTTTTTAATGAAGGTAACATTGGTTTACCTCATATTTGTGTCTTAGAGGTACAGGATCTCCCCTTTAGCTGTTGTTACTACTACACCACCTCACCACAAAGACATCCGCAGTCCTTCCTCAGAGTCCACTGTCCCTCCCCACTTTGTCCTCACCCCTTCACCTTCCCTTTCTGCTCTGGGAGCCTCAACCTAACCCTAGACATCATTGCCTGAGAGCTTCCTTCCTGGAGGATCAACTAAGTCTGTGCAGGGGAGGCAAGTCCCTGGGAGCAAGTCTGCTCAAGAGCCCTGAGGTCACCGGGCTGCTGGGTTCCGTGAGGGGAGGCATCCAGGGGGCTGAGTGGGCTCCACATTCGCTGACATTCTCTGAGAAGGAAGCTCCACGACCCAGCAAGTCTACCCCTAAGGAGTCTACCCAGAGGACATAAAAACATTCATTCAAAAGAATACCTGCATCCCTCTGTTTATGGCAACACCATTTATAACAGCTAAGACTTGGAAACAACCCCAATGCGCCAAAATAGATGATTGGATCAAGAAGATACATATACACAGTGGAAGACTATTTCACAATCGAAAAAGATAAATCAATGCATCTGCAGCAACATGGGTGGAACTCGAAGGGATTATGCTCAGTGAACTAAGTCAGAAGGAAAAAGAAAAATATTGGATGACTTCACTGATAGGAGGGATGGAGGAGAAGCAAACAAGGGATCAGGGAAATAAATAACAGCAATAAACAACACAACAAAACAAAGCAAAAATAAAATGACAGCTATAAATCATGGTCCGGGGGGAGGGAGTGGGGGAGGGGTCAAAATGAGGGGGGGTCACACAGGGGACTGTGTGGTGGTGAACGGGGAACTGGTGTGGGGTCCTGCGGGTCGACCCCTGAGGAAAGAAAGCCAAGACTGTAAAAAATAAAGTGATGTAAAATATATACAAATAAATAAAGCTTTGAAATAAGTAGATGAAAGCTGGACCGCTTCGGTGGAGGGGCGAGGCAGTGAAGGGCGGCTCAGAATTCTTTCTGTGGCGTTTGGAAGGCGCCTACTTGCAAGGAGAGCACACAGGCAGCTGCACCTGGCTGGGAGGGCCCCAGGACCTGGAACCGCCAGGTGAGGCTGTGCTGTGACTGCTGAGTTTTGTCCTCAGCTAACACAAAATTGGGCTGCTCAGAACTGCACCCGAACCGTGTGACCTCATTTCTCCTCACGTGTGGTGCCTCGCACTTAAGCCACAGCCTGCACCTTTCCTGTAGCTCACACAGACATGTCATGTTATATAATCATAAACCGAGATTCTAAAAAGGGACCTAGCTGGAGAAATGCTTTCTTTTCTGTCCTCCAAGGGGAACCGCAGAAAATCAGACTGTGACCTTTATCCCACCGGTGTGTACCTGATACGCAAGACCTGCAGAATAAATGATGTTTTAAAGAAGCCAATGTCGAGACAGAGGTTAAGGCTTCTCCGTCACTCTCCAGTGGCACCAAGCCCCGGGCTGTGGTCTCCCCACCCAGCTGAGCCCAAGACTCTCCATCACCAGAAGATTCCTGTCCAGATTCTGCAAACCGACAGCAGAAGTGAGCTAGGCTCACTTCACTAGGCGTGGGAGAAGGTAGGAAGCGCCTCATTGTCCCCCCCACTGTTTCCGGAGGACATTACTGTTGAATTAGTTCCTAAAAATGGCCAATTGTTTTCACGGCGTCCTAATTTACTCTGGGTTTCCGAGGCTCGTACATACACATCAAAAAGAGCTGATAACAAAATTCCATGCACAAGGTGTTTTCAAGTGATGGGTAACAATTCAGTGGTGAAACTGACTTCTGGATCTCCAAAGGCTCTACCCGATGGAAAATGAATGGCAGCCACAACTCAGACATTCATTACCAACTTTTTATTAATTCCCATCAATTTTACATTTTCATTAGTTGTTCTTCAGAGACAAATGGTTGTTTACAGTTCACACAAATCAACTGATACATTAACTCAGACCTAGAAAAGATACTCAAATAGAAGCAGTATTGCCCAAGGTGAATAAGGGTGCATGACATACAGGGGACTAACCCTCATTAAAATTAGCATAAAGTGCTTCTAGTCACCGAGCAAAGCCTGCTGAGTGGGATCCACTGTCTCCTAGGAAGCCTTTGTCACTGTGAAGCTACGAAAACTAAAGTTAACCAAAGGTTTGTAAACCCCAACTCTATATTGACCAAGCAGTTTATCATTGAAAACTAGCATTTAAATAGAAAGAGGTGAAGTAAATTCCTTAGCTATTTTTTCTTAATAAGAGCACACATGAACTCTAGTCATACTGAGACTTTTATTGTTTGCCCATTTTTCTTCCAATCATTACACTTTTCAAGTTCACTGATGTCTTTTCCATCTGCCACGTTCTAATTTTTTCATATCATCTACTCTGTCTGCAGAGAGAATTGTGTTACAGGGATAATCATGGTGTCCTTGATATTTTGTCAACTATATCATTCACGTGACAGTATTTACATGCCCATCTTATGAAATCTTCGGTGTTGTTTGCTAAATAAGCATATGCTTGAGGGAACCGGGAGGTAACTGACTGTAGTTTCCCTCACCAAGCCTTACTACTGAACATTGAGGACAGTTCCTTTATTTGTTACTGAATAGATTTTTAGATCTAATTTCTTTCAGTCTCTTAAGATGTTTCCTTGGTATGGAGTTTCAGGCGTGACAATAAAAACGAAAATATGTGTGTCACCTCGTGGGGCGCAATGTTAGGAATGGGGCGGGACGGACAGAAAAATAACTCAAAGTCCAAGCAGTAAGAAAGAGGCCTACAGGGGCTACGAATCCTGAGATACAATGCCAGTGTCCGGGCGGCCTCACTTTTATTTGGAATCAGATTCTGGGAAGGGGGCGAGGCCGTGGAGGAAGGCGAGGGATGTGCGTGGTGGGGATACGGACTGGGGGGCATAAAGGTCTGGCACAGGCTGAGGGAGTGACTAGGGGCTGTCCCCTGGGGGTGCCCACTGTTGCTGCTGATCAAAGCGCCCTGTCTCCAGGCCCTGTTCACACTTAACTTCCTGTGAAGTGCTCCAGTTGGTTATGCTAATGTGGCCGTACAGTCTGCTGCTGTTCTCAGCAGATCTCCTCACGCCAAGACTCCTCTCCTGAGGAGAGGCCCCTGCCTCACAATACACTTAGCTTCCTCAGCAGCAACTTCTGCTGCCAAGCAATATCCCGAGTCCAGGGAGGTTTGGGGGGATTCCACACATGTGAAAATTGTTATGGCTCTGCCTGTCCTTTCGACTACTTCACAAGAGGCTGGGCTGATGGGCCTGGTCTGGGAATGTGTGCAGGCTTCCTTCCTTTTACAAAGACGGCCACAGTTCATTTTTTTTTTTAATTGTAAGAGATTATTTCAGGGTCTCATAATTAGTTGGCAGTAGGGTTAAATGCTCTATGTGCATTCTGTAGATGTAAAATTATCTATTCCTCTGCTCGCAGTCTTCTGTCTTTCCATCTATTCCAAAAAACCCTTTTAATTGGTTGCTTGGGCCATGAATATAAATCTCTTCACCTGGGCGAGCTGCAACAGCACCAGAAGCAACGTGAGCACAAAGCGGCCAGAGAGAATGGGGCTGTCCCCTGGCCCACATCAGCCAAACCACAACCCCTTGCCTGGAGATACTGTCTGCTCAACCTCGTCAGGCTTCAGGCTGGAAAGAACGAGGCACTGCTGTGGGTGTGGGGCCACTTTTCACGAGGAGGTTGTATATTTACTTTTAAATCACCAGATAACTTTTCAACAAGCACAGTTGTTGGTCAGCAATGCCAAAGCAGGCTGTGTCCTGAGCACCCCACTACCGAAGAGGGAAACCACGCAGCTCGTCAGCTACCCAAGCACGCGGCCGATAATCTCCTGCACTCACACGGCCACACCGTCCACATCCCCACACCCCACGGTTGTGCCTGTGGGTCTCGCCCTCCTCACTTGACATCACAGAGAAGAGCCACCCCACGGAGCACCCAGTGTTCGGGGGCCTGGACCGTCCTGAGCTCCACGGCGGCGATGTAGTTCAGGTCTGTTCTGACGGGCTTCTTGTAGATGGGGCAGGAGTAAAACCGAGGATCTCTTACAGCTGAAAAGAATGCATAAAAAGAAAATCACTGCGTGGATTTCCCACTTCCGCATCCCACGCGGTGCAGAACTAAATTTGTGCCTTCCGAGGTCGTTGCAAAGATCAGGTGTGGCAGAGTCAGGAAAGTGCTTCCTGAGGTCTGTCAGCTCTTAAATGGGAACAGAGGCCATTCCGGGCTTCTGGAGGGCGTGGGAGGACATGCAGAGCCTTGCAGGGCGACCTCACTGGCTCCTCGGCCCCTGTCTGTGAGCACCACCCCACGTGCCACCACACGGCCCTCCCATCGCAGCCTCTTTCCCGCCTTCAACCAAACACACCCCTATGCCTTCCTCCTTCTCTTCCCCACACATCCCTGTTTCTCCTGCAACTCGCCTTTGGCACAAGGAAACAATCATTTGAACCAGCCATCCAGCGCCAGTGAGTCTGATGTCATTATCATCTATATTTCAAAATGCTCTCTCTCTTCAACCCTCTGGCAGAATCCACACCACATTTGATCTCCCAGGACAGAGGGTGTCGGCCCCTCCCTCCTGGGTGCAGAAGGCTCCTGGGTGAGTGGACACATGATGGCAACCTGGACCAGCGTCCTGCACAGCACAGCTCCTGCGACCCAGCCTGCCTTGTAGGAGGAGACTGAGCTTCCAGAAGCACCTGCACCGGGAAAGACAATCTGTGCTCTGAACATCTGGCCCCCGCTGTTCAGTGGTTTGGCTGAGGGTCTTTCAGCTTCGTGATGGCGTGGGAGTAGTGCACATGCAATAGAAAATGCACTGCACGTGTTGCGTGGCGGTCTTTCCCTGGGCTGGCCACGTGCAGCCGGTGGTGCTGGGCTACCCGTGAGTTGCAGCAGCCGCCAGTCATGTGACAATCACGTGACAACACACCTGCAGCGGATGGAGTGGTCAATGAGCCCGGATGCCGGGTGTGGCATTTCTCCTCCCGTCCCTGTGGGCTAATGGAAGCGTCTGAGCGCGGCTGAGGCAGGCTGGGCGATGTGGTGCATTAAACGTACTTTCAGTTCATGCTCTTTGCAGCCAGCACTAGGCCGGGCAAGCTGCATCCTCACGACCTCTGTGGCCATCCTCTCTCGGTCCTCTTTAAGACCTTCATCCCTACCCAAAGCCTCCCCTCTCTCCAGCCTGGAAACCCCATACTCAGGGGCAGTTGGGTCTCATGGGGCTGCACTATATAATGTGGGGGGAGGGGGAGAAGTCTCTTTTTAAGAAAAAGAGTAAACAGCTACAGATACATTAGGCTTTGGGAGGGCCCTCTGCTCCAAGCGGCTGTGGTATTAGAGTCTCTTTCGAGTTCCACGCGCTTCTCATTGAGTCCAACCTGTCCTTGGTGGACCATCTGCTCATCTCATCCGTCCATCCCAGGAGACAGTGTACAGTTTTTCTCTTCTTTTCCAGGTGAGAACTCTTTCAGGACAAGCTGAAACAATCTGCAAACAGCCCACACCCGCCCTGTACTCCTCTGGGAAACCAACGTTATGAACAACCCTTATGCGACTGATACAAAAACACTGTTGCCTTGGTGAGTTTATGAATTAGACCATGATACAAATATGGCCAGTGAGACATGAAAATGGTAACTTTCTAAACACAATGTTAATCTATCAAAGTTACTGAACTGGTTTCTCAAAAAAACACCTCACTCAATGATTTAGCGCTTTTTTTTTTTTAACAATTTTTTATTTATTTGTGCATACAGAACTGGGGTACAGGCCAGAGGTGCAGGGGCAGTGAGAGGATTCACCAGAGACAGAGTGGTGAGCAGAACAGGCAGATCACTGAAGTCCACTGCTGAGGGGAGCAGTGGGGAGACAGGAGAGGTCTGCCGCGCCATGTGGGTCACCTCCCGGGCAGGGATGGAACTCGCACTGAAGCAGCCACGCCAGCTCTGCAATGCTGCATTCCAACCTGCTGCACCACCAGGGAGGACCCTCAACGATTTAGCTTTTTCTAACAAGTTGCAAAAGCAGAGCCCTTTCCAGAAGTTGGAAGTCTCATATTTGACCCAATAGAATCTTCAACATCCTTTTTATGTTCTCACCATAAATTTAATTTTGTTGGAAGAAGTTAAACATTTGAGTTTGACTATAGTATACACAGGCCACTGCATAAAATAAATATTCCAAGATAGTGATTTTTAATGGGGTGTGATTTGACTCCAAGGGGACAATTGCCATTATGCTCGGTTGTCACAGTGATTGGGGGTGTTACAGTGTTAGGGTGCTACTAGCGGGTAGTCTGTAGAGGCTAGACATGCTGGTGACTTCCTGTCATGCACAGATTGTGCCCTCACAGGAATTATCTGCTCTGCACTGTGGCTGTTGCAGCCACTGCAGCATGAGATTGATCCCTGGCCAGGGAATGACCCACATGGGGTGCAGCAGACCTCTCCTGTCCTGCCCACCGCTCCCCTCAGCAGTGGATTTCAGACCTCTCCTATCCTACTTCCTGCTCTATCTCTGGGGAGTCATCTCATCCCTTGTACCACTGGCCGTGTATGTACCACAGTTCTTGTGTGCATAAATAAACACAAACATAAATAAAATAAATCTTTTAAAAAAAAAAGGAATTATCTGAACCAACGATGTCAAAAACACCGAGGTGGAGAAATCGTATTCTAAAACAAAGTCACAAACACAGTGCAGTATTTTTAAAAGTATGTTTTTGCCTCATTCCATGAAATCAATCATAGGAACAATGTAAGTTCTCGAACACCACATGTTTTACTCTAGGTGCTGTTTTTTAAATTATCATGAGGGTAACATTAGCCATAATGATGAGGTAACGACATTGAAAATTCTTATTGGTGAATTCACGGGGTACCGAGAATACTAATCATACTCATTGATCTATTAAAATATATCTGAGGCTGAGGCTACCTTTAATCATAGATTCTGTCAACATATTAAAACACTTATTTTTTGTGATGCAAATTTGACTAACAACCACTTTAATAATTTAAAAATCAGCCTCTAGAGTCTTACATTTGAGTCATATGGCAGTTACAGTGGTTACACCTTGGAAATACTTGACTGCTTGGGATTTTAATCCCAAAAGAAAAAAAAAACTAGCATTCCTTTCAATGCACGAGTGAAAAACAATTCTCTGAAATATGGGTCTAATTTTATTTTTAATTGCTTCAGCACTGAAGGTGCCTGTGCCCCGTTCTCAGCATGGGGAGAACTTCAACAGCAGGGCCAGAAGCCACTGGAAAGAGCATTTCACAGGAAAGTCCTGACAGACACAAAGCCACCGCATGAACAGATGCGTCCAAAACGTTACCCCTGGCTGGACAAATGCTCCGAGGACAAAAATAAACATACGAGGGAGGTGGAACAAATCTGCTCAAGACTTTGAAAGCCTAGGGCTTCGTCAGGAAAGGAGGGAGCTATATAAACACACGCCTCAGGGTCATGAAGGTTTTAATGAAACACATGAAGGGAATTGCGTTCTCCAGCATATAACTCCCTTCTCTAGTTTAAATTTTTCATACAATTGTTAGTCTATCATTACATCAGCTATTATTTATTTAACAAATATTAAATTAATATCTAATTTTAAAATGCTGTCTGCTGGTCATTAATGATGTGATAGTGCTTTATCGCAATCAATGTTCAATTCAGTTATCAAAATTAAAAGAAAATAGGTTTAGAATATGAGAAAAGCAATAGAATATTAGCTTTCTATCACTAAAAAGCACTTCAGCAGCCAAAGCTATTTGACAAAATAACTTTCCACCAATTTCAATTGATACAATAAAGAAAAAGTCAATACCTAAAATTTTTCTTTTCTTTTTTTTAAATAATTTGAAATCAGTCACTTTTTCCCATGCTTATTTTATTTCCTCCTTTCTCACTGCTAATGAACATCACCACCGAGTAGTACCCAGCAGGAAGTATATAATTCTACAAAAACCTGTTCTTCAATAAAAAGAATTACCTGTATTCTAAAATTATTACTTTATTACTATCACGCTGAGCTGTTCAATGTCATATCACCATGGATTTTTACAGTGTAGTCACAAGAAATAAGAAAGTAACACCTAAGTCAATGGGGAAAAGATTTTTCTTTTGCTTCCTAAGGAAAACATTTTTACAGCATATTGCCTAGATGTGATGATCGGATGAAGCAAAATTCACAAATTATTATTTTCGACAAAAGAGTTTACTACCTGTTCTGTAGAATAAACCCCACCCTGGGAATAGACAGCACCCTAACAAGGAAGCCTCAAGCAGTATCTGCAGCCACGAGGCCTTCCCTAGACCCTCCAACTCCCTCACTCCCTGGATTCCGTGTGTGTGTGTGTGTGTGTGTGTGTGTAATCGTCATGTAATCGGCCTCACAAATCGGTAAAATTATCTAGCACCACTGTCTCCCCAACAGCGCTCAACTACACACCTGGGACTAATAAGTATTCATCAATCAAGTGTGTGAATGTGACACTAGAAAAAAAAATAGTAAAATCCTTATGGATGACAACACAATGAAGGAGATCCTGTGTGTACATTGGGTCAACCAACCCAATGAGGCCAATGTCCCCTGAAACAACACAACTTACTGTTGTTTTCTGCATAAATCCTGATGACGGGCATCAACTCAAACAGCACTTTTGGTTTGGACTCAATCAGCTTCATGTTCCTCTTGTCCCAGCCAGCACCTTCGAGATACAAACCAAACACGTAGACGCCCTCCGCGGGCGGGGCGGAGATGTCATCCTTCATCCACTTGGTGACCTCGTTGCACAGCACCATGTTGTCCAGAGCCCAGCCTTTGTTGGCTCGAGTTATTTCCTACTCAGGACAAGAGAAAGGGCAGAGGAGGAAGAAGAGGGAAATTAAAAGACTGGTCTCAATGTGCAAGCATCGCAGACATGAAAACCTGGCCCAAAACTAGCCTAATTCAAGGATATGCGAGGTTAAAGGACTTGGATGATTCTCTCGTTTACCTAATTTAACCATTGGCACTTTTAAAAGAAACATGAAATCAAATGAAAAACAAACACCTTGAATTGCAAGCTAGCTACCTGACAACAAGGTTCTGGATTTATGTTCAAGATAATGTAACTGCTAGTACCGTGGGTAATCATCCCCTGTCTTCTTACAGTCTTTAAAAGTGGAAAGAAGGAAAACTAAGAATCTAGCCGGTGCAAATCAGAGCTATTACCTGTCGCATTGCAGTTAAAAATCCTTGGGGGTTAAAGAACCCCGTCATCCAAAAGCAGTGGGGTCGGCCAGTGAAAACCCAAGAAGTGAACTGGCAGTTTCTTTCGATAAGTTCAGTAAACCAGAAACCCAGTGTACTTGAAACCCACGATGCCTGGAAGGTCAGCATAGAAACAATTAATACAGGATTAATTTTGCTATATAAGGGGCTATGTTCACAGGGGGGAAAATGATGAAATATCTTTTTTACAATTTAGAAGCCCTTAAAGCATGAATTTCCTTTGGGTACTGACATTTAAATTTTCAAATATGCTTCCTCCTCAATGATATTTAGATAGGAGAGAATCAGATAATCTCCCAAGCATGCCAGATCAATTCAGAGCTTAGTACATAATGCAAGATGCCTGATGTCAACAGAATAACCCTCCACAAATGAATATATTCATTAACAATTCTATAATAAAGCAATGAAAACAATTAATTGAATCAACATTAGTAGGTTTCAACTATTTTTCCTTAGGTTACACTTTCAGGGCCTACATTGTACAGCTGGATTTCTATTCACATGAATGTGCCTACGGCTCATCAGCACTTAATATAATATTCCAGGGATGCTACACCGTAGAAGCCTGTCTCCGTTTATCATTTTTAATGAGGCAAACAATTATTTTCTGAAGTCATTGTCCCCAAGAATGCACTTTTATTTCTTTTGATAAAGCAGAAACAGAAACACAGGTTCTTTTACCACCAACAAATTAATCGTGTTCATTGCCTTAACACTCTGCCTGAGTTCTCACAGATGGGCCATTAATGTTATCGCCAGCTGGACTGGTTGGTTGATACCAAATCATATTTTACAGCAACTTATGCAATGGCATTGTTTTGGGCAAATAAAAGTAGTGATCCTCCTGATATACTACTTGAACTTCAAGTATTTTAAGAATTAATTTGTCTATTTTTCAAGACACTGGAATTCCAGAAAATGACAATGGGTTGGGTAGGAAAAATAAAACCTGTGGATATGAAAAGGTACGATTCTAGTCCCTTAAATTACATACAGCATCAGGTCCTCCCTGGTGGCACAGCGGGTTATAGCACAGCACTGAGAAGCTAAAGCCACTTCCGCATGAGTTCCATTCCCGCCTGCCCCGGAGGTGACCACAGGGCGCGGCAGACCTCTCCTGACCCGCCCACTGCTCCCCTCAGCAGTGGACTTCGTCGATCTGCCTGTTCTGTTCCCGGCTCTGTCTCTGGTGAAGCCTCTCGCCGCCCCTGAGCCTCTGGCCTGTACCCCAGTTCTGTATGCACAAATAAATAAATCTTAAAAAAAAATACATACAGCATCAAAAACCAATAACTTAATAAAAAAATTTTTAAAGTGAATATATGGAAAACCATAATTTTAAATTAGAGCAACTCATTCTATCCTTTTTTTTTTAAAGATTTTATTATTTTATTTGTGCATACAGAACTGGGGCACAGGCCAGAGGCTCAGGGGCGGCGAGAGGCTTCACCAGAGACAGAGCGGGGAACAGAACAGGCAGATCGACGAAGTCCACTGCTGAGGGGAGCAGCGGGCGGGTCAGGAGAGGTCTGCCGCGCCATGTGGTCACCTCTGGGGCAGGCGGGAATCGAACTCATGAGGAAGAGGCTTTAGATTCTCAATGGTGTACTTTAACCCGCTGCGCCACCAGGGAGGGCCATCCTTTTTTATGTTGTTAACGAAAAGTGTCGTGTTTATACTACATTTGTTTTGAGGTCACTAGAGCTTGGGTTTAAATTCTGCTTCTTGGATTTCTCCAGTGTTTGATCAGGGGAAAGATTTAAGCTCTCCCAGCCTCAAATTCCAAGTCTGTAAATTGAGGGCAATAAAATGCAAGATTTAAATCAAGTAATGCAAATCAAATCACCTAGGAGAGCACTTGAAATAGGGGAGCTGCTAAGTAGTTTATTTTCCAACCTATAATCTAAAAGAGCAGGGCTAGCCGGTAATGGGTCTCCTTACATGCTTCCCACTTGCCAGTTGCAACTGTACACAAGAAGAGAAGTTTTTGAAAGAAGTAATCAACTGAAACGTACTTTTTTCCACTGGGTGGGAATCCGGGCATCAAACATGCAATTCAGCGCATCGCGGAGGCTCTCGCTCATGATGATGGTGCCATCGATGGCGAGCTTCAGCTCGGTCAGCGTGGCCCGGACCAGACTGAGCACACGCTGCATCCTGTCTATCTCCTGCCTGAGGAAGATGTTCATGGGCTGGAACAGCCCCATCTTCAGCAGCCTCTCTTTGACCTGTGGTGCACAATTTAACCAATGACTCGCCTTAAAGAGCAAATACGTGGAAACAGAACATGCAAAAATGTTGGTATTTACAAATAATAATGATGGCAGCCTGTTGCATTTAAAAATCTACATGGAATAGAATTAAAGGTGTTAGCCATGCATAACAGTGGATGGAATAAATGGAGCTCAGTGCTTGCATTGTCTGAGAAGTGGTAAAAATACTAATTTGTAGAAAGCCTAGTAAATGGTTTAAATTAAAAAAAAAAGATTGCTACCATGTTTATGGAATGCATTCCCTAGAACTTTTGGGAAGTTCTGAATTCACACCATTTCATGAATAAGATTTTTTTTAATTGCCAGTAGATAGAAGGTAGAAGGAAACATCCATTAGGTGGACAATTTTACACCCCATGTAGGAGGAACCAGGCACCATTAATTCATAGAAGAATATGAAGTAGAGAGCCACACAACACAGTCACACAGGCTTCCAAATCTCAATCTCATTAGCTCCCAACTTGTTAGGAAATATTCTCTTTCTGCCAAGCTAAACACTTTCAAATGCACACAAGCACACATACCCATTCATAAACAATCCTGTGGGTGGCCTCAAAAAACTAGATGGGGTTTTAAAAACTTTCTGTCTTTTCCATTAAAGCACCCATCCATCCACCTACCCACCCACCCATTCATTTACATCTTCTATGTATTTTCTGAGAGTTCTCTGTGTGCCATCTATTGTATCAGGTGGAGTTGCTTTATCCTAGGTAACACTGACAAGTTCAGCATAAGGAGAGAACACTATTCTGAAGTCATTACCTCCCATGTTTATTTACACAGATATCACTGTAGTTGTAGCTAGTTTTTATTGTTTCGTAAATATTTCACCACTGTTAGACACATACGACCTTTTTCTATGCTATCCGCCTTTTCCTGATAGGTGCTTATGAAAGCTGGTGGCAGAACTGATTTTCTCCAAACAAGTGATCAGGAAGTGACACCCTTGGAGATAGGTGCTTGAGTTTCATCTGTAGGACTGGCAGTCAAAATGGCCTGCTCAGTGACAAGAAATAGGAAGCTCAGGGAACAAGCTACTGCAACTGTCCTCTTGAAATCCAAGCAACAGAGGAGGTCCAGTGACAAACATGTCATACCATTAGTCTCTGTCATCTCCAAAGACTATGCCAATGTGAGTTTGCCTTTTAGTGAAGATTTTAAAATGTCCTCGAAAGATGTCCTTTGACAATATTTAATAAAATATTTTAAAATTAACTCTCATAGTATGAATTTTATCTACTTGTATGTTAATATGACAAATCAATTCTCAAAACCCATGAGATGATGATATAAATGTAGACAATTTGAACTGAAGGAACTGTAAATATTAAGGTGTGCACTAAACTATGCAACACCTTGTTATAATAATCAAGAGTGTCACTCTTTGAATACATTATATTCCTTTGAACAATGAGTATGAAGTACCTAAAGGGAAAGTTCTAGAAAAGCAAATCTCATCCATCAGAACATACTTGCAATTATGGAAATTAACATGCTTGCCAGTTGTTTACTGTTTATATCTTTAAATGACTGCATTAGTAGATGAAAATTTTTCTTTCCCTGGTTCTTCTGGTAGTGAGTATTTTAGAGTGTTTTTTTAAGAAAAAGTCTTTTACCTCCTTTCTCATCCCCCAACCAAACAATCACACATATTTTACATTTGGTCAGGATGTCATCCACTCACTTCAAATGGGATATAGTCTGGGGGAAGCTTTTCCAGCATGTCATCAGCCAGCCGGGCCACCACCGTCTCTCGGGTTTCGTCCCCTCCCCCAGAACTATCCTTGGGTTGGATGCCCAAAATAGTGTCCAGCACGTCCTTGGCCAGCTTGCTCTGGTAGGTGATGTCGGCATTGGGGTGCAGCCCGAACACCTCAGGGCTGTCATAAGTGGGCAAGCCCTGAACAACAAGCACCCCAGGTTAGCACAGACTGCGGATATAAGTACCAGTTAAATGAAACTATCTTCAAAAATAACAATATTGCTACTAGCATTTACTATGCTTGTCTTATTTGTCAGGATACAATCTCAACCTTGCTCCAGAAAAGAATCTAATACTACTTTGTGTGTGTGTGTGTGGGTGGGGGGGGAATACAATGAGAAACAATGTAACCCTGAGAAACAAAGCGTAGGCTCTAGGTTCTTTAGTTATACCTGAGCAAACTTAACCAGAGAGACACTGTCACATATACGGTGAGTAGATAGCGGAGTTATGGGCCAGTAGTTCGTTTTCTGAAGGTCTCAGCTAGTTTTAACCAATCATTTAACTAAACACTGTATAACTTAGTGGTTACTATGCTTTAAGGAAGCCATAAAATTGATAATCTTAGCAATTATAGTCCATATTAGGCTTCAGGGGGGAATTCTACTCTCCCAGGGAGGAAAAGAGAGAAATATTGAGAGAGAAGAGTCAGAGAGGGAGAACAAATAACAACAACAACAAAAAAAAATTAGAGAAAAAGAGATGAAAGCAGAATAGGCAGATAAAACACTTCCCTTGGTGACTTGAAAAAAAGAAAATTTACCTACATTTTGACAAATATTTCTGTGTGGATTATATCTTTAACTTTATTATTGCCTTATTCTTATTTTCCCTCCCTTTGGCAACTTTATTTTATTCCTTTTTACATACAAAATGTCTTCTTATGAGTGACTTCAAATTCCCTGAGAGGTGAGGCATATGTAAATAAGTTGATGTATAGGCATAATTAAATTTATACCTTCATAGGCACTTTCTTGTACAGGGCTAATGATTTAAAGATACATATAGTACATTCAAAGCAAATATATGTGTTGATTTAGATTAATAACAGTGCATAGGTGGTTATATATGATAAACTCATTACATTTATATGACATATCACCTCTAAATATACTGATAAATTTAGCCCTTTGGGACTGCTGTGCTTTAGTTTATTTGTTCTGATATAAATCTCAGATAGAAGCAAAGGGGATTACTAAATAACAACCTAATGAATTCAAAGTTTAGAGACAGAAAATTGAGCTACCTTGAAGCACAAATTAGATTTTGCCTCAAATTTCCTGTCAAAATCTATCTTGTGCTTCTTAGAACAATGATTCTCTGTCAAGGTGATTTCCCCTCCCACACTCTCCTCAAGGCTATTTATCTGATGTCACAACTGGGTAGAGGCTGCTCTTGACATCCAATATGTGGAGGTCAGAGGCACCACTCTGAAGAATTCCACTCTATGAGGAATATCCCCACACAGAGACTCCCCTCCCCCCCAAAAGTGTCCCTCCCTGAATGTCAATTGGTGCTGAGGTGGAGAAATGAAATCCTGTCCATTTGGCCAGAGTTAAGGAGTAGGTGTCACAGGATAAAGCAAATAGAATGAACTAGAACAAGCTGAGCTGTGTCTAAAGGCTGCCTTCATCCTATCTACACAGGGAGTTCAAGTCTGAGGGACAAGGAGCTCCAGGATATTTGTGTAGATTCCCAGTTCTAAATCTGTTCTACTGTCTCCCCAGAGAATAGTCTTTACAGAGGCATTAGAAGAAAAGGAGGGTGGAAATTCAGACTAAACAATACATGCAGAACAATTATAAACACTTCACTTTTAGGGAAGTAAACAGGAAGAAATCATGTATGGTGGAAGTTTCACCATCCAAGTTATATTACCATTAAAATGTTCAAGTTATATTACCACGTTATATTCACCATTCAAATTATATTACCATTTTTTGAAAAATATACACAGTGTAAATATATACAAAGATCAAATGGTACAGATATTTGTTTTTTGTGTAAAATTCTGGAATTGACAAACCTGGATATAGTGCAGATAGCTGTCCACTGTGCTGCATTTTGGAATATTATAGCCTTGGTAAAAGCTGAAGTCTGGTCCAAACATATTTTCACTGAACCAAACCTTAGCAAATGTGTTCAATAATCTCTTATCGTAGTCATCGGTGACTCTTCCTCCATATTGAATCTCCCCTATCATGTAGCGAACAGTCGTCCAAGAGACTCCCTGGTAAAATGAATAGAATAATTGCGTAAAACTGACTTCTGTCTCATCCTTGTTTTCCCAGGAAACATCCACATTTGTTGACAGCCATGTCATTCAATTATGCATTCACTCTTCATCAATAAGTGAAACGTGCAGAAGGAAAATTAAATTGGCAGCCATGAGGGATCACTCATGTCCCCGATTTGACATAGACTCTTGATGCATTCATGGGCTTTTAACTTTAACAGAAATGGAGTGTTTATTCATTGAGCGTATTGGGACAGTTCTTTAGAAAGGACACTTCTGATGCAATCTAGTTATCCATTTTTCTTTGTTAGTAGTTTAAGAAACAAGTGTTCCCACCCATTCTCCTTCCACCCCACAGACCCTTTTAGGTTACTTTATACCATATCAACTCCTCTTTGGGAAATAAAATCACCAGCCATTTTTTAGCCTCAAGTCAAGAGGCAAGTTGACTGAGTGGTTATGATTTAATGTCATAAAATCACAGGATTCACCTCTCACAGGATTTACCCCATCAGGGTGGCCATGTCAGCTCAAGACCCGAGCCCACAAGCCCCAGTGCAAAAGGAATGTGCTCACGGTACTTTTTTAAGATCCATGTCGTCCAGGTGGTTTTGGATGAACTGCACAGTGGCATTAAAGTCCGCTTGATTAAATTCATAGGGAATGTTCCATCCCAGGGGGCCAAACTTCCGCCTCTCCTGAACTGTGGAATGCAGGAAAGCCACGGCGTACAGCATGGGCTTCCACTGAGCCACCATGCTCACGTCCAGAAGGTCCTGACTCACCCCTGTGTAGCCAAGTGGTGAAAAAAGGTCTCACATCTCAAATGTCTTTAATGTCAGCCACGCTTCTGAGTTACTGTTCTAGTAAATTTCTTACATCACACTTCACTTATCTTGAATTATTTTTATCACATTCATTTTGCAATTACAATTTAACTTCAGATATTCATAGGTCTTTCTCTCTGAAAAATCTGTAGCGATGGGGTGGGGGAAGGGATGAGCTTCCTACCATGACTCAAGTGGATTTAACAAGATAATGTGGCGAGAGAAACAAGACCGGTGGCAGTAAGATTAAAAGCTACTGTTATGACTACAACTATTACTAAAATAGTAACAACATTATCATCGGGGTCTTTCTTGTACTGAGGTTGCAGTGGGCTTCTAAAACAACCGAATATTACCTGTATGGCACATATAGAAGTCCATGGCACTTTGAGTATGTTCCCCAAATAATAATGATGACGATTATAAGCATATTTTGTATTATATAAATAATTACATGATTTTTATGTGGTCAATGCTGTTGCTTCCCTCATCCCTCCACCCCTATTTTAGCCCCACATCACTTTATAGATGGAAAGGGATTTGAGCCTTATTCACAGCTCTGCCCAGGACGCCCTTGTAGATTGTTCTCAGATGGCTTCATTAAGTAAAGACAGCCCATCATTTTAATTCAGACTGTCTCCTGGGGAAAGGTCATCTTCACATTTTAGGTGTGGAGCAAGAGGATCACCCATGGCAAAATCACCAATTCTAGGAGTTATCGTGAAAGGCGGGTGGCTAGCTGGAGAATAGGGCCATCACATGAAACAAAAGCTCGCTCTGATACACCGACCTTCCAACAGTGAGCTACAATTTCTTCAAGGAAACAAGTCCAGTACAAAGCCTCCTCCCCTAACCTTGCAAGTGTCTCTGGACTCACCCCCGTATGTTCTTTTCAAGCCTGCGCGGAGGCCCTGGGGCGGTTCGTTGGCAAACTTGATGGCCATCTGCAGGAGCGTGATGGGAAACTGCCTGTGGCGCTCCGTGGTCATCCAAAGCCGGAAGGTGCCATGCACCACCTCGGTGTCCGTGATGATGTCCATCAGCTCGTCCATGAAGGCCAGCCCCAGGTGGCAGTTCTGGAGAAGCGCCCACCCGCCCTGCATCAACAGCACAAGCAAACCAGGCGCTTAGACATCAGGCATTACAATTCAGCAGAGATGCACAAGAACCACTTCGGGCTATTCTCGGCAAGTTTGAGGACACCACAGTTAAGGGTGGTGAGCTCTAGCTTTTTGCTCTTGTACACATTCACCCCGCAGCTTGTGCTGCCAACAGAAGTCACGCTATGAGGTGGAACCAAAAACAGCTGAATGAAATGCAAGATATAACGGCACTTCTGTTGTCAGATGCCTGGGTGAAGTCTTCACGTAATGCAGCCCGGCCCCAAATTCCATGAACATGGAGATGAAAATTGTTTCAGCATGAACTCTAAAGACAAGGAGGATGAAGGTGCTACCAATCCTATTTCAAACAGACTCAAGAAGTGCAAAACTAAACTGGCATTAGAAGTGCAAAACTAAACTGACATGAAACCTGATTTCACCATGTGATCCTCAAACCACTCAAGAAGAGTGGACAAGAGAGAAGATGGACTGAACAAAATGACCGAAAATCCAAGCACCCCAAACACACCTGCCTCCACTAAGAGAGATGAAAACCGGAAAACGGGACCGGTTGCTGCGGAAGACACCACAGAAAGCTGTGGCCTGGAGGACTTGAGCACAGGGTTAGAGAACCTTCCTGAAGACAGGAGGACGTCTCCCCACTGGCTGTTGACCCCTGCGAGTTCCTGAGACCTGCTACCAGCACCAACACCCTCCAGAGCGAGGTCCAGTCTTCTCTCTAGGATCTGACCACTCTGAGAATAAAAGCCTTAGAAAAAAGATATGTCATTTGCATCAACTATTCCACAGCATAAAAAGAATCCTTATAAAAAAAATCAACACAGGCAGTACTTAGAGTCAAGTGATCGTCACTTCCTCAAATAGCTGAGCCACAGAATATTTTTTTGCTGAAATCACCCCCACATCCAGATCATAATCATGTGTTCTTTTCTCAACTGCATAATTCTGAATCATTTAGAATTGTCTAGTACAGCCTGAGTTATTTCTCCTTCCAAGAAACAAAGAAAGCAACAGGTCTAACATCTTACTAGAATAACATAAAGCTGATCGTTTTGGAATTTCACATGTCCCCTGCTGTTTTCTTCAGAAGGAGACAGCAAACAAAGCCCCAGGCCTTCCCTGGTGGCACAGGGGATTAAAGCTCAGGACTTCGAAGCCAGCATCAGCCACCTTGGTGCGAGTTCAATCTCCGCCGCGGAGGTGACCCACAGCGCACAGCAGACCTCTCCTGTCTCCCCGCTGCTCCCCTCAGCTGTGTACTTTGTCAGTCGGCCTGTTCTGCTCCCCGCCCCTCCTCTGGTGAATGCTCTCACAGCCCTGCATCTCTCTGGCTCACACCCTAGTACTGTATGAATAGGGAAATAAATCTTCAAAAAAAATAAAGCACCTAGGTTTTACTCTTTGAAACATCGGTTGATATGCCCACAACTCAAAACGAAGCAGAAATCACACACAAAACAGGGTCATGAACAGGAAGGCTTTGGTTGTTCTCTTCTCCAACATGAAGGTGAGTCCTGATCTAAGATTCCAGTACCTCAGTCCACACCATGGAATCCCTTCGCCTGGGCTGTTTTGTGTTAGTGCCACATACTACACACAATACTTTGTTTTCCTGCTGCTGAGAGATCACCGTGTTGTTATTCCTAGGGAGTTACTGCTTCCTCTACATTGCCTCACAGCTTCCAATAGACCATCTTTATGAAACATTTAAGAAACTATTATCTTTGACAAGTTATAAGCATGCTAATGATAAGTAAGATTTATTTTATTTAAACTACTAAACTGAAAAAAAAATGGAAAAGCTGAAGGTTAAAATGCACCACTTAAATTCTAACTTAACCTGTCTGAAATCATAATTATTAGTTACATGATTACTTGTTTCAAATTCAAATTCAAACAAGCATCCTGTGACTGTCAATGTTTTATTCTAAGTCTATATTATGCAAACTAGTTGCAAACTAGGATGTTCTGTGGTGTAAATCGTGCTTAATTCCACACTGAGCAAGATCATTCTATGTGTTTTTTCCATAAAAATGTCCTAGTAGATACCAGACTGTCTCTCTTTGGTAAGCAGCATGCAGGATATACCACTAAGCTCTCACTGACTCCTGAGTGACTTTCTACATGACCATTCTGTACCCTGCGATCTGACATAGTGACACAGAGTGGACATCTGGCCTCACATTTGCCATGGTCTGCTGCAAGAGCTTGCGTGCGTGGACCTCCTGGCCCTGGCCCATGGACACGTAGCGGGTTTCTATTTTCAGCCTCTTCCCCAGGGCAATGATGGAGTCCGTGGGGTCCGAGCCCATGGACAGGAGACAGATGAGTGGAGTTCGCGGGTCAGACTCCTCCCAGGTCTTTTCCAGGTCCAGGATAACGCCCTCAGCATAGTTTTCCCCCATGGAGTCCATGATGTACTTGCGGGCCTGCCAGAAATAAATGAATAGCACATGTATCACCAAAACTAGTTTCGACTTCTTTATGTAAACACTTGGTGTGGTGTCCAAAATTCACACCCAGAAGTGGGTGTAGTGACATCCAGTACCCATGCCAGGGAAACAGAATAGGATATCCTGTTTGCTTGTCTGTCTGTCTGTCTGTCTGAATGTCTGAACCCCTGTTCCATAAGCAGGGAGGCTGGCTTACCTGCCAAATACACAACACAGTTAAAATACCAGGCCCCAAGGTGGCTGATTCATTGTACAAAGAATTTTACATGTCAGAAAACTATTACTTTGGAGGCTTTAAGGGAAATGCATTCAAATAATCAAGGAAACAGCACAATATCTGGGATTTAATTATCAAATAGAAAATCACCAAATGACTATTATTTGAATGAAATTTATATGATACTTATTGCATGAAGGAATGATTTTGTTTAAAGATGCGATTCACATACTTTCCCCTAATCCTTCTAATCTCTCCCTTTCCACCTTTAACTCATCTCTTTTATTGTTAATTTTGTTTTGACTGGAATCCATGCACACTACATCGCAGACATTGCCAACTACACTACCAAACATATAAAAATATTCTAGTAACAATATGGTCCTGTTATTAATAATATACAAGAATTACCACTTGTCAATATTTATCAATAAATACTACGGTATACATGACCCTTAGCCTACACCCTTGGGAGAAGTTCTGAGGAGGTGACGCTCAGTCCAGTTGAATTTGGGACACAGGTAGCCATTTATTTTCATACCTCAAGCTTGAGTGTTACACATTTTTTCTATGGCCTTCTAGCAGGAACTTAATAGCCTGCTGACATGCCATTTGATGTCTCCAAAGCCTACTCTAGGTACCTGTTTGGCAACATCACTAGGGCAGTGTCCTGTGTGACAAAAACTTCCAAGGATGAACACTTCAGCATCCCACAAGGTGCTGCTGCTTCTCAGTCCTGGGCACCTGCCGTCACTGCAGGACGTGGCTGGCAGTGTGCTCACCCAGGGGCCTGCCACTCCCAGTCAGCAAGGAGCTCCACATGTCTGATGCAGCCACAGAACTCAGCATTCACACGGCATGGGTGTTTCCACCCAGCTATGTGTTAACTTGCTGTTCTATGCACCAGATCGTGATAATAACCACTAGAGATTTTTCTGGACAGAGCATCTCTGTCACCACAATTCTCTTCTGCCTTTGTGACACAGAAGAATAGACAATCGGACAACAAGTGAGCATGTGCATATGCCAAGAGAATGCGCCACGGGACGCTGACATCTGAATGCCACATCATTTTCACATGTCACAAAATAGAGTGATTTTGTGATTTTTTTCCCTGAATTTAAAAATATGAAAATGATTCTTAACTCACCAAATGGACCTAAAGAGGCAATGGAGCAAACTTGGTTTGCTAGCCCTGGGAACAGACTATGAGAAAGGTTATTTGGCTTGTAATAGAGAGGAAGACTGAAGGTTCTTTCGGGGAATAAAACTGCCGTTCCTGGAAAAGAAATGTTCTCAATAAGGGTCACCACCACTGGCTCAAATTGGCTCCATGTCAAAAAAAAAAGTGCATTGTTCCCATACCACAGTGGCAGAGTGAGCCAGAGGAAGTGCGCCGGACTGGCCTCCCCGAGACATGCTTAACAAAGCTCATGCAAAGCCAGAGTGCCTCTCAGGTAAAACTTACCAGCATCACAACAGGATCATCAGCGCCAATCAAAGAGGCCAGGGACAGAAAAGTAACTGATGAGGGCGAGAGAATAGGGCAGCACAAACCCCAAGAGCAAGCAGTGGCTTTGGCGCAGAGCCCGGGCAGCCACTGACATGGGAACACACAACACTGGGCTTCCTAAGAGCCAGCACTACGCTGGGATGCACAGCAGACACGGGG